AAAAAAAAAATCGAAAATCGGAGAGACTGTTTTTTAGATAATGCAGTTTGAACATTGAATGGCGAAAAAATCGTAAATTTTAAAAAACTCTAAATTACGGCCATTTAAATTATTTTTATCTCAATTTTGATGGCATATTCAGAATCTACATGAAAAATGGGTCTGGAAACACTCTTTCAAAGTATGATCGATTGATACAGAGTCTCGCTACAGAGAGTCAAAGAGAGGGAAGTCGAGAAAATGAGAATCGCTAAAACGGGCGTTTTTGAATATCGCTAAAATTCACCCCATCTTTGGGGGTCGATATCTCGCGAACGGGGCGTCGGATGGGAAAACCCTTCAAATTAGTTTCTTAGAATGACGTAAAGACCCCGTATACCAATTTTCAGCCAAATCGGAGGGGGTCGGGTTCCGAGCTTGGTTGTGTTGACGTGGAATGACCCTAATGAAATACGTTCGTTTCCGAACGGATATTGATAAAAACCGTCATTTTTACGAGAATAAAAGGGAAACGCATCAAATTACCGCGATGAAAAGGGATATTCTTCCAAGACGCGAAGGGGTGGTGAAAAATTGCCGTGGCATAAATAAAAGAGAAGGAAAGATCCCAGAACCTCACTCACGATACAATCGAAGGGAATTTAAATATTTCAACAGCAACAAATCATTTATTTTGCTGTGGACCCCGAAAGAGATGAAACATCTTTTTGTTTATAATGACAAGCAGCTATTAAGATTACAAGCCAGATATTTAACGGAAAAACATAAAAATAAATTAGCCAATGTTTTTTTATTTACGTATTAGATTTTTTCATTTTATAAGATAACCTACTTTTTATACCTACGCACACAATTAGGTTTTTGAACCATTTCAAAGTTTAAATGATTCACTCTCGCTTCAGCAAAAGTTTGCAGCAGCTCCACTCTTAGTTGGATGTTTCATATTGACAGGGTGTCTACTAAAACAGGCTGGCCAAAAATTAGTACTTATACGGTACTTTTTCAGTCCATTCCCAATTATTTCAGTACCTCCTTAGCAGAAAAATTCAGTACTTTTTCAGTACCTCCATTTGACGAAATTCGGAAACTTTAAAAAAATTAGAATTTCCTGCTCAAATTGCGATAAAAATGACAAAAAAGTGAGAAAAATTCCGGACCGTCTTGTGGAATTTCAGCACTTTTTAAGTACTTCCGAACCGCCCTTGAAAAATCAGTACTATTTCCGGACTTTCGGAAAATTCCGGACTCGTAGACACCCTGAATTGAAAAATCACCAAATGCTCATCTCTTTGGGCAATAATAGCAATATAATAGCAATAAGGTATTATTTTACCCGACTAAAATTTTGTTTAGCGCAATTGAATCTCACTTCATGATTCACGACGTTCCCTTTAATCAACGGATCAACCCTTCGCTCACTCTGTTCGCGTCTCTTCTCCTTCGCTTTCCTTTCACAATAATTCACCATGGGGGAAGCGTTATTGCTGTGAATACATCAAATAAAACCGCTGATCTACAGAGTGATACGACTGCAGATAAAACGTTTTTCTCCGGGTCCATTCATTTTCCCATTTGTCTAAAGCTCCTTTCAATTTTGTATTTCGCACTCGACGAGCACCGACAACCTCAGTCGGCACCGCACAAAACTTTTTCCGCAACTATAACAATTAAAACTTTTGAGCCGAGGAAGGAAGGGGATGATGGGCGGAAAGCAAACTAAGTATGAAATAATGTCCGAGGGCTAAACCGTCAGCCCTTTGTTGGCAAAGAGTGCACAGGTATTTTCATTGTTTGATGGGAGGATAGGGGTAATTTTTCGAGATACCCCGGTATACCGTTCCAGACATTCCTATCGATCTCAAATTATGACAAAAAATAATTTGTCATCATCCTGTTAACCTCCTTACTATAGAACTTGACATATTCTAGAATGGAGATTTTGCAATTGTCTGAGATTTGATTAATTTCGTGTTTAGGTAGAAACTGCTACTAAAAGAACTGAACACGAGGGTACCTTTGGTTCATAAATTGAACAATTATTTGAGAGGATGATCTAATCTGCTTAAATGCATGCGTTTGAATGGGAAATGCCGCCAGATGACGTCACTAGGCGGTGTATTTTCTCACTTTCAAATAAATTTTTATACTATATCCCATATCAAATTTGTTTTAAAAACATCCCGCGAAATCGGCTCTTTCAGCCCTTTCAGATTAAGCAATAAAAAATGAATGTGCGTGCAAATAATTATCCATTGAGAGTGACATTAAAGCTCACAAGAAATGTACTTTGATAGTGAATCAATCACGAAGTATCCGCTAAAACGGTGAAAAAGGCACGTGAATCTCTCTCAAAAAAATTAGTTGATATCATCACAAGAAAATACGCATTAGAATTGACTCGAGCACGGCATTTGCATTCACTGCTGTTCAAATACCACTCAGAAATAAGCTGAACCCGTGATTTTTGTTACAGAGTTCTCGGAAATTTTTTATTGTCACTGACGCATTAAGGTTTTTTTGAAAATGGACGTGAATATGAACAATTTGAAACGCATTGTTTCTTTCGTTGATAATCTCCACTAGGGTTTTTCTTCTGAATGCGCATTGCATATTTCCATTTGCAATGCCATTATTGACGCTCATAGAGCTCAGCGGTGTCATAGCTCATCATTGGCACATACTTGCATCAGAATCGGTGTTCATGGACGCTGAGTGAAAGGTATTTCGAGGAAAAGTTTGGCAAACAAGCCAAGAGAGAACAAAAGTTAGGGGATAAATTGGATTCGCATCAAATTGAGGGAAAAATTATGACTTAAAGTCGGGCGCACTGTAACTGGAGGTTCGGAACCAGATTACACTTTGATTGACTGAGCGCGTTTACGCTGAGTGCTTGGCGCCTTGGTTTCCGCATTCTGACTATTTGAATGCGCTGACGCAGATTAATCTAAATTACTTACCCTCAGGATTGTTTTTCTCACGATCGCTATACTGTAGACACTCGTGAGAGGAAATAGTTGCTTGTAGTAAGAGGCCGCGCGAGTCAAATGAAGATTTATACAGATGTGTCGCTTTGGAAACACAGCCTAACTCATTGAATATGTAACTGCTGGCACATGGGTGCGTAAGCGTATTTCAACTTACAAAAGTTGAAATTTCTATACTCAAATCTCCAAGTCCTGCACAGAGGGCTTTGAAAAGATCAATGGACTACTAGATAAGGTACGAATAACATGTTACTTAACCGAAATTGCACGTAAAACACGATACGCACAACGAAAATTACCGAATCAACTCCTTACGAAGATATTTAATGATTCTTCATGCGCGAATTCAAACCACCCGCTCATGAAAACTCAATGATCTACGTGATTAACATCGCGCGCTAAACGTTTATCATGACAGTCTCTGTGATATAAAAATCTGGCAACCTCAATCTTGACGCTTTGGCTCAGCTATAGCAAATTGCTTATGGTTTGAACGACACATGATGGGAAATGAACATTGCTCGATTAAGAAGCTCACTGAAACTGTTGTAGTGCGCGATTTGACTCACGCAGAGCGTTGAGGTTCTTGTGAGCGGGCAGTTCAAATTCCTCGTAACCAATGTGAAATAAAACCGTTAATATCTTCGTTAGGAGTTGTTTTTAGTAAATTTCATTGCGCGAGTCGTGTTCTGCCTGAAATTTTAGTTACGAAACATGCATCAGAATGCTTAAATTCGTACCTTGTCTAGTGGTCCATTGGAACGCGTCGAGCAGTCAATCAGAACTACATAATAATTTGGACCGAGTTTATCAAAATGAACCAACCCACATTTTGGAAAAAATTGAGTTACGAGTGGTCTTGAGCTAAACTAGTTGCATATTTTTTTCTACCAAAAATTCTTGGTTCAAAAAAAATATTTAGTTTATGAAAAAAGGGATAAAATTAATTTTTTACATTGAGTCTTATGGAGAAACAAAATTTTAAGCCTCTCCTTCTCAGTTTCAACTTTATGTGGGGGTTGGTTCCTTCCTGATAAACTCGATCCGTTTGATGATAATTTTTTTTTCTTAAGTGCTGGTGCAGATAACATACATCTAGTACGCCAGTGGATTCCCTTGTAAAATTTTATTGTTGGTCCTCATGTTCAATTAATGTTCATGTCATAAAAAACTTTGACTAGAACATTTTGAAATGATCTTATCCTAAGTGCTTGTAGAGGGTTGTTTAAGGTGGCTATTGAGATTTTTTTTTTTTTTCTAACATTTTTCATAAATGCGCTTATGTTGCCGGCCACAAATCACCAAAATTATTGTCTGTTCTCCTTTCTTCTCTTCCTCCAGTCTTCTATAGTATGATTTTTAAAATATTTAGTATGACGAAATTTTGTATTCAAATGTGTTCCCAAAAGGCGTTGCCAATTGCTTCCTGATATTCTGATTATTGTAAATGCATCTTTTTTTAAAAATTACATCCCGTACACATATGCCTTTTAGTTTATAAATTAACTTTCAATAGGTAATAAAAGAGGTACCCAGATCCGCAGAAAACAAGTTGCCAATCAACGTCTTGCAGAAGCAATTTGAAATAAGATACCCTCTCAAAGAAAATACATTTAATCCAAACATTTATGGATGGCGTTTTTTTTTTACCTTTTTTTGAAAAAAAATTCGACATTTTCCGGATGCAATCCGTACAAGCCTCCCCAGATGAAATCCTATATAAACGAATCTTTCCAGCTAAAAATATTTTCATAAAAGTAATAATCATTGTCATGAGATTGTTGACACCACGCGATTATTGGTGGATAAAGAGGTTACGATTCTCTTCACAAAGGCTGAGTGCATAGTTCTCTGAAAGACAAACGAAGCAGGTTGAATCCGGCACCATAAGTATGGGAATATGCTTGTACTTCCTACTAAAAACTTTTTAGTCGACAAAACTTCCGAAGTCTTCAAACGTGAAATAATTACACCTTCGAGGGAGAAGAGAACTTGGTTATTTTAAACTTTACTTACGAAAAAGTTATAAGGGTGCTGGTGATCAGAACCGCTTGAATGACGGTTGAACATGATTTGCAGCGTGATACTGAGCTCTTCTTCAAAGACAATTATCTGAAAACAATCAAAAAAGTTTCCTTTTTAGTCGATGTCAGAAATATGAAAATTTTCTTTGGATACCTTGAGAGAGACACAGACTCGGCAAAAAGTTGCAAGATTTCGATCAGAATAACCATTTCCCTGATTTCAGAGTACATAAGATTAGAGGAAAAAAAAGTTCAAAATCATTGACATAAAGTGAACCTAACTAATGACAATTGATACAAAATGGGGCGTGGACATCTCGACGCCTGGATACAACTTCTCGTGATTAGATGGTGTGCGTGTTGCATAAGCAGTGGCGTAGCTAGGAATTCTTTGAGGGGGGGGGGGCTGTGACGGTAAATTTACATTATTTTGTGTACGTCCCTGATAATATTTTATGTCTGCCCTCCAAAAGTAAAAGATAAAAGTACATTTAACGGGACTGATGGTCTGGACCCCCCCCCCCTTATCTACGCCACTGTACATAATGATAAAATAAAGGTGCTTCGGATTTTCTTGCTCATGGAAAAAAATGCTCTGTAACAATTGGATGTATTTCTATCAAACGGAACTAAGTGCATTCAGACATGAGCCCTGAGACCCATAAGAGTATGTGCATATCTGGGCTCACGTCATAATGCACATAGTTTAGTTTGATAGAAACACGTCCTATTATTCGCAGCATCGCAGTAACATTTTTTCTTAATAGTGAAAATATTTCGAACCTTCATACGTATCGATAATAATTCGCGATTATCATCATTTTTGACTATAGTAATGCCTTGTGAGCGAGCAGTGGAGACGAAGGAAAATACATCGAATTCAAAATTCAAAACACAAATTAAATAATGAATTTTTGCCAGCAAGTCCATATAATTGGTTATTAGTTTATTTATGCATCTCAGGCGTTATGCGTTACGTGTTCCTCTAATGATTTGGTATTATAAGAGTGAGAAATGATTTTACAGTAACTGCAATATTAGGTTTTTTTTGTTTGTTTTTTGTTTCTCGTGAGAAAGTGTTAGGGCGAATAAGTAAATCTTAGGAATTATTCCGTTACGGTAAATGAAGAGTGGTGGACTGACAGCCGAGTTACATTTTAAATTGCAGTTTTACAACGCATGTTTACTTCGCCTGCCGACAGTGCAACAAACTTGTTATTCGAGGAGGAGAGGCGGGGAAACGCCGATGAAAATCTGTGCATTTCGGCGTGATAAATAGAAATTGCGGCAAAAATTTAATTTATTTACAACGCTTTCACGATGCAGTTCCCCGCTAAGTGATTGGCAAACACTTTTGGGATGCTAAAGAGGTAGTTCATCCGCGAGCGAGGTGCCGCAGGGGGGAGGAGGGGTTGCGGCTTCAGAGAAGCTTTTCATCGGCGTATGAGTAAATAATCCTTCAAAGCGAGGTTGCAAAACTGACTAAAAATCCTGCACAATTCATGGGTTCAGTGCTTAAGAACTAACTAAGGACACAAATGAATCAGTGAGTTCGAAAACACACCAACTCGGGGAAAAAAAAATTGCTCAGGAAACACCTAAAACTGCGCAGCGGGCGAAGAAGTTCAAATTTCCGTAACAACGTTTCATGAGGATATAATGGAAACTGCTTCAGAAAATCTGAGCATGATGTCAGGCAACACCGCTATTAAGTTACGATATAGTATTGCTACAAATATTCCAGTGTTACAAAAGAGATAGTGAGAGTGGTATATACGATCGCTTGTTACTTTGTATCCCACACAATTTAGGAAACAGTCAAAAGTAGAAATTTAATAATTTAACAAATAAATAACTTATGAGCGGTCCCAGAGTTTTCAAAGTTGTGAATTTCTTCTTTTTGACTGTTCGGAAAAAATTGATCCGGATATTTTCAGTTACCGGTAGATTGAACAAGTGAACGTTGAAATCAAGCTTAAAAACCAACTAAAAATTTGAAGTTTATCATGTCGCCGGCAATGAGTCAAATTAGGCATTTTGTCAAATGCCTGGGCAATGGGCATACAGTCAAATTTTGGCAGTTTACGAAAATTAAGGCGAGGAGCTTATGTGTTTTCAATGTTTTGGGAAAAATGACTCATCAAATCTACAAACTCTTCATGCTTCTCCTTCTTTCTTCAAGTGTTTCTCATACAATCAAATGCAAACATTTTAATTTCTGTCTTTCATGCATGTAAGAAATTCTGTATTTTTTGACATGCTGGAGGCGTCGTGCTAAATGATCACTCAGGAGCTAAAAAATCGTTTAAAATACTATTATATGATGCACACGTTTACAGAGAATTCTTTCTTACAGGAGCAATGAATTATTTTGTCTAAAATTAGGAAAATAAACAGAATTTCAATCGATGTAAGAATGTTTTACTGTATGCCTGATTTTACTAATTACCTGCGACATATCCGTCGTAGCGTTGGTAATATTTTCTCGAGAGGTCATAAATTACGGCAGGTACTTAAATTCTTACTCAGTCTAGTCATCTCTTTACAAGGGAAGGCCTCTTCATTTCCCCAGTTGGCAACAGTAGGCAGGATACTGTCGTCAGCCTGAACTTGCGGACGGGACACGAGGGTGACGATAAGGGTTGCTCATTGGGGATGCAAATCACGTGAGCATGAGATTCGTTCGTCAGCGTGTGTCTCGTCTACACAGATTGTAGCGCGGGTTGCTTCTGGCTCCTTCCTCGCTGTTTCCCGCCCTGTTTATGGCTGTCGCTCAAAAGTAAATGCGCTAATACTTACCTGCACGTGATTCCCATCATCGCCAGCCTACTCGACCCCTCAACCAACCCCTCAATCACCCCGAGTTATGCTCTAGAGGGAAAGTGAAGAAAATACCATTTGCCTGGGTGGAAAGCTCTTTTGAAGACCTTCTTTTTCATGTTTTATTTGTGCGATATATACTGTGCAAAATTCTTACATAAAATGAAATAATTGAGAACAAGCTATCGATAAATTCTAGTAAGAAAAAGGAGGAAGAAAAACAGGGGTAGTTCATTGGCCTTTGCCGGACACTTTTTACGAATGTACCCAAGCGATGGCTCTCTTTATTCAATGGGTTGGTTTCAAGAATGTTATTGCGTTTATTATGCCACCTTAAATTGCCTCTCATTTTGTACTTTGATGATCAGCGTTGAGATAACGATATGAAATTTAAAAAAGACTTGATGCGATTTTCAGAGACAGATTTTTGTTCCTTCTCAGGTAGACCGCGGTCGGCGGTGCTCCCCTGAGGTGAATATTTTGTTATGCTATTCGTTAAATGCACTTGAAAAGAATTTTCTCGGGGTTAAGGGTGGAAATCATCGGATGGTATACTAATCCCGATTATTGGAATCTTGTCGTCCGGAGAGCACCACGACTATCACATTTGGAGGCGCAAGGGAATTGAGATCCACGCATGAAGCTTGCCCCAAACGTTGACCCTCCATTTAACCTCGTTTTTACCCGGAACAGGGAAATAAACCCGAATTTGAGACACATTAAACTCAATGAGCCTGCAATACAAACGCTTTCTCGCAGACCGAATACAGTGAAATGAGTCAACCACATGCCTGTGCAACAGCGGAGGGACGATTCCTTCAATGCTGCCAAACAGCACAAGAATTCCTCTTATTTTATTTTCCGCAAAATTTTAGATTAGAAATTAAATTAAGCCACTGCCTGCGACGTAATAAGTTGGCAAAACGGAAATTCAAAAATCCTCCATAAAAATCCATCATTTTCAAAAATCCTCTTTCTTTAAATTAAGGTGCGTTTCAAAAGTTCTTTTCTCATTTTATTTTTCCACATTAAAAGTAGTGATGAATCATTCTAGGATAGAGATTAAACCAAATTCTCGTGATGATGATAGGATTTTATTTCATGAAATAGTAAAAAACTATTAGAAAAAATGTGTAAGGTATCTTGCAACTCCGCGATTCGAGTTTTATTGTGTCATTCCATGTATGAAATATGTATCTCTTTAAAATATGAAGTTTTTGCTCGTCATATGCAGAATTTAAACTGAATTAGGGCGTGGAAGGATATTTTTAGTCATATTTGGCAGCAGTGCCCTCGTTTCTCATCCACGGTAACTTAATGAGCCGAAAGTTCAACTCTCCGAAAAATTGGTCGATGAGCCGGAAGGCTCGAGGCGTCTTTGAGTGGACAGTTTCCGCAGCGGGAGTTTCAGAAAAACTGGGCCGCAGAAATCGGCGGCCCAATTAAAAGAGCTCTCGCTTGAATGGTACGGAAAGATAGCGGAAAATGTCAGAATTTGAGTGTTTTTCCTCCGGAAAGGAGCCTTTGAGACGTGGAAATCCGTGAGGAAACGCAGAGAGAAAAGTCGTGAGAGAGGTAGAGAGAGAGAAAAAAGAGTTTTCAAGAAAAATTGCTCTGCTATGCAACAGTGGCACACTTACATTCAACAAGAATTTTGATTCACGTTTCCTCTATCAGTGATGACACAGCTGTGCAAATTTTTGGCGATGTCATAATGTCAGAGGAAAATTCAGTCCTATATATTTTTCTCGGTCAATGTGAGAATACTTGACGAATTTCATATCGTATAGATTTTCTCGAAAAACGAGCTTTTTTCAGGAAACGGGTGCATGGTTAATGAGAAAAAGTGTCATTTTTTAATCCAACGGCCATATTTTACCATCAGCACCGTTCTTAAAAATGTCGATCAGATATACATACAAGGGAAATGTCCTCGGTTAGACGACCTACATTCAATTGATACTTCCGTTTGCTACCGTATTAAACTCATCGAGATATGCTTTGAGGTTAAATGATATCTCAATTGAGGCGGATTGTCAAAAAAGTGATGCCATTCTTCAGCTTCATCTATATTAATTAAAAAAAAAAAAAAAAATCTCATCAATAGGATCTTTGAACGAGAATAAAAAATGTTTCAGCGGAGGCTGGTGGCCCCTATCAATTTCCAATTCAAAATAACAGCCTTATATTTGTGACCGGTCATCATTTTGAGATGACAATTCCAAGGCATTAGCGATTGGAGCGAGACATTTTTCGTATTTTTGTTTC